TAACAGTATCGATGGATTTATATGTTTTTAAAATACCATCGATTCTATTTAAAATAATATTATTAATACAATTAACTTCAATGTTTTTAGGTGCCAGTAAAGCACGCTCACATAACCACTGCCTATTTTTGAAATTACGTTGAAGATTTGGAAAAACACAATTTATTAACTCTTCCTTTGTGTGATCCTGCAAAAGTTTCTATTCAAAATAATATTATTGATACAATTAACGTCAATGTTCTTGGGTGCCAGTAAAGCACGCTCACATAGCAGCTGCCTATTTTAGAAATTACGTTGTAGATTTGGAAAAACACAATTTATTAACTCTTCCTTTGATTGTATGATCCTGCAAAACTTTACACAATTTGTGTTTGGGTCAATTGGCATTTTTCCATGTCCTAAGTCCAGCAATTGTTTTGCAAAACCTGAAGTTAAATCATAATTTTGCAACTGTACCGCATGTTTGTTGTCAATTTTAACGTGATTACATGTTGCCAGAGATATGATGATTTCAGGCAAGCATTGAGTTCATCAGCCGGTGTTGAACCAGGTATCACAGGAAGTGTCTGGCGAAAATCACCCGCTAAAACAATTAATGCAACTCCAAGTAAATTAGAACTACTTTTCATGTCCTTTAAAGTGCGATCAAGTGCTTCTAAGGATTTTTTGTGGGCCATGGTGCATTCATCCCACACTATTATTTTACATGTTTGCAGGATTTTATCCATTGAAGAATTTTTCATAACATTACATGCATAATCTTTAGAATATTGAGTAATCAATGGTAATATGAGTGCAGAATGCGCAGTTCTGCTTCCATCTAAAAGTGTTGCTGCAATACCTGATGACGCAATAGCTAAGACAATATTCTATTGTAATCGAACTTTAGCTAAAATCAATGTGATCAGAAAGGTTTTTCCGGTTCCTCCTGGCGCATTTGGCACTCCAGCTGTTTTAGTTTCGAAGATATATTAATTTAAGTATTTTCTTTATCGTCATATGTCTAAGTGTCCAAGTGGGTTTTGCTATCCTAAAGTTGTAATAATTAAAAAACTTCCTTTACGAATTTTGAAGATTCCAACTCTTACAGTTTCCCAGATATACGAATTTTTGCATTTAATTTATATGGAAGGTGCCAAGCTCCTATCGAATGTCAGAGTTCTTCGTGCAAAATTGAGGATTCAGCTCTAATAGCTTTCCAGATACACGAATTTTTGTACTTAATTCATATGGGAGGTACCAAGACTGCCTAAAAGTTGCTAGTCAGCCCATTTTTGTCCTAAACATTCAATTTGATACTAAAGTTCCTCCGAAAAAAATGAGGATTCTATCTGTTATATTTTCTCAGATATACTAATTTAAGATTTTCTTTATATGGGAGGTGCCACGCCCACTTTATCTAGGCTGCTCATTCATATGGATGTTAATGTTGTTCATAAAAAATTTGAGGACTCCAGCTCTTACAGTTTCTGAGATAAGCGACTCTTAATACTTATTTTGTAAATGGGTGTGGCATGTCGCCCACGTTAAATTTTGAAGTAAAAAGTAGCATATAGTTCCTTCCAGACGTACAGAAAGACACTATGAAAATTAATCGCTCTAGCCGTTTAGCTGTCTATAAAGTCCAAACAAACAAAAAACAAGTTAGAGTGCTATTTTCGGCTATGCCGAATCTTAAATACCCTCCACCAGCAAGCTAATTTTTATTAAAACCCAAAATTTTTAGATAACTTGGCAAAATTTTTGTTTCCGTATTGAGGGTACTTACATTTATGCATATGTCAAACTAATTTTAATTAGGTCGAGAAAAATGTGTATTAATAGGCCAGTTTGAAAACATTTCAATATCATGATTTATCTATACACAGAACATACTCATTTTGAATTTTATCCGGATATAATCATTTAATTACGAATTAAGTGGTATTAAGTGATTTTCAGAAGTATACCTTATATGGGAGCTAAGACAACCTATGGACCGATCCGGAAAAAACTTTATATGTACAAAATACACATTTATGTCGACTTTTATCTCGATAACTTTGATTGTCAATGTGCATTTGATTAATTTTCGGAAATGGTCCTTATATGGGAGTTGTGACCAATTATCGACCGATAAGGAAAAAATTTCGTATAATGATTTATATGCCAAAAAAAAAAAAAAAATTCAAGTCGAATTTTACTACAATAGATTTATTAATTAATGAAATATGTGCGTTTAGGTGATTTTCGGAAGTGGACTTTATATGTATAGGAGCTATGACCTCACCCAAAACATATTTGTGTCGAATTTTATCAAGATATCTTTATTTGATAATGAAATATGTGCGTTTAAGTGATTTTTTTTGAAGTGGACCTTATATAGGAGCTATTACCATATATGGACCAATCCGGAAAAAATTGGTAGAATGATTTATATGCTGACAAAACATATTCAAGTCGTACTTTATCCCGATAGCTTTTTTATTCAAAGAAATATATGCGTTTAACTGATTTTCGTAAGTGGACCTTCTATGGGAGCCTATCCGGAAAAATTTTGTAGAGTGATTCATATAAAGACAAAACATATTTGTGTCGAATTTTATCAACATAACATTATTTGACAATTAAATATGTGCGTTTAAGTGATTTTCGGAAGTGGGACTTATATGGGAGCTATGACCAATAATGGACCGATCCGTAAAAAATTTGGTAGAATGATTTGCATGTACACAAAATATATTTAACTAGAATTTTATCACAATAACTTTATTCATCAATGAAATATGTGCGTTTAGGTGATTTTCGGAAGTGGACCTTATATGGGAGCTATGACAAATTGTGGACCGACTGAGTTCTACGTTGATAGTATGATTTCTGTTCATATTATGTTTACATTTACAAAATTTTGTGTTGATAGCGATATATTTGAGGGAGTTATTAACGATAAACTTATTTCCGGGAATATATACCTTTGTATGGGGGCTATGGGAAATATTGGATCGATTCTAAAGATTTTGAACATTATTGATCACTGCCCCGAAAAAATAATGTGTGACAAAATTCATCGAAATATCTGTGGTAGTTTCTGAGAAAACTTCATATGAATTATGAAAAAAACGTAATTTTTTCGAGGTAGTCTGAAATTTTATTTCTTGGTGTTACACACGGAACGACAAACTTATATATACCCTCTTAACCACTGATAGTGGTGGAGGGTATAATAAATAAACGTACAAACACACATTCATTTTTATACATATAGATCCGTATAGGAGGTACCAAAACCCGCTTATGAAAGTCCACCCATTTTTCTCATAAATATTCACGTGGATGTTAAAGGTCTTTGTGAAAAATTAAGATTAAGATTCTATCTCCAATAGTTTCCCCGATCAACGAATTTTAATATAAACTCATATCGGAGGTACATACATACAAACACACATTCATTTTATATATACATACATTTATATATACATATATATATATATATATATATATATATATATATATATATATATATATATATATATATATATATATATATATATATATATATATATATATATATATATATATATATATATATATATATATATATATATACTTACAAAAACATGTCATTAATTTACATAAATCTATATATATATATATATATAGATTTATGTAAATTAATGACATGTTTTTGTAAGTTTATATTTTTATACCCGCCATCAAAAAACATGGGGGGTATATTGATTTTGTCATTCCGTTTGTAACACATCGAAATATTGGTCATAGACCCACAAAAGTATATATATTCTGGGTCCTCATTACATTCTAAGTCGATCTAGCCATGTCTGTCCGTCTGTCCGTCCGTCTGTCTGTCTGTTGAAAGCACGATAGAGTCCCAATGGAAGGAGCTAGAGGGTTGAAATTTCACATAAATATTTCTAACGGGTAAGGTTTGTTTGGTATTGAAAATGGGCAATATCGGTCCACATTTTCTGATAGCCCCCATACAAGTGGCCCCTCGAAAAGCAGCTTTAACAGCCATAACTTGTTTAAAAATACGAATATAGCGATAAAATTCGACATAAGGAAGTTTCTTATGATCCAAAATCATTATGCAAAATTTTATGAGGATCGGTCCATAATTGACCTTACCCCCCATATAAGGTCCCCTTCAGAAAATGACTTTAACGCTCATTACTGGCTTAAAAATACTAGTATATAGATGAAATTCGACATAAGTAAGTTTCATACGAGTCAAAATCTATCTAAAAAATTTTATGAGGATCGGTCCATGATTGACCCTACCCCCCATATAAGGTCCCCTTTAGAAAATGACTGCAAAGCTCATTAATGGCTTAAAAATACGAGTGTAGCGATGAAATTCGACACAAATAAATTTAATACGAACCAAATTCTGTCTACCAAATTATATTAGGATCGACCCATAATTGACCCTACCCCCTATATAAGGTCCCCTTCAGAAAATTACTTTAACGCTTATAACTGGCCTAAAAAATACGAGTATATAGATGAAGTTCGACATAAGTAAGTTTCATTCTAGTCAAACGAGGTTTGATGGTGGGTATATAAGATTCGGCATAGCCGAATATAACACTCTTACTTGTTTCAAACTTTTTATCTTAGAAAAGTATGTAAATCTAAAATTGTATTTGTGATCCTTGTTTCAACACAATTTGGCGTAGGGAAAAACGTAGGAATTTGTATAGGGAAGAAATGCGCGCTGCAGCATGGAAATTTTAAAAATGCCTTCTAGCAACAATGTATGTAACCCAAAAAGTATTTTGGTGTTATATATATATATATAAAAGAACTCAGATTTTGTAGATAATTTCATTATAGAATAGTTTTTAGATTCTGTATTTTCAACTATTTGTTGCGTAGAACGTTGTTGACAAAATAAATATCCATCATCAATATGTTTAACATTTTTGTAAAATATTAGTCTTACAAACATACAAAATTCGGTCCTACCGAACGTCAAATATTATTATTTTATGTTAACTTACCTTGGGATTCAGTCCGGAACCTTGGCGTAAAAATGTACCGGTTATGAACCAAAAACTGTTCGATACTGAAAATTGATTTTCTACAATATCTGAATCTTTTAGGCAAGGGTGTGGGCTATTCCATTCGTATGGTGAAAAGCGAGCCATCACAAATAATGTAAATGAAACTAAAATATAAGCAGCTAAAACATATAACCATATCTCCATAGCCAACGGGTTCATAAATGAGAATAGACGTGTAGGCTGGCTGGTAGGTACCTGCAGAGGTAATAATGGTAGGACATGAAGTAATACTACACGGACTAGATCATGGTTTTAATTGAGTGCCAAAAACAACGTATTATTTTGAACGCAATCAATACCATTGCAAGATATACATATTTCTTACTTGTTGGTTTAGGAGCACACAAACCTAAAGAGTTAACATACCTTAAATAATATACCGATTCCTAGGTTCATAAAAGGTTTCGTGAAGTCTATAACGCTTTCTCGAGCGTAATTTATCGTCATGGATGCTACAGCTAAATCAGCCCGCTAAAAATGAAATGAAAAACAACGGTTACAGACATTAATTTATGATTTTACCGAATTTTTGAAAGGCCCTAACATTTTGTATTACTTAATTACTATAGAGACTGAAAATAACTCGTCCACTTTGGTTTAACAACATTTAATATTTATAATTTGTTATTCTTTGTTTTAAATCACTGAAAGAGTGATGTGTCTATACATACATATGTATGTATGTATGTATGTATGTATGTATGTATGTATGTATGTATGTATGTAGGATGTATGTATTGTATGTATGTATGTATGTAGGTATGTATGTATGTATGTATGTATGTATGTATGTATGTATGTATGTATGTATGTATGTATGTAGTATGTATGTATGTATGTATGTATGTATGTATGTATGTATGTATGTATGTATGTATGTATGTATGTATGTATGTATGTTATGTATGTATGTATGTATGTATGTATGTATGTATGTATGTATGTATGTATGTATGTATGTATGTATGTATGTATGTATGTATGTATGTATGTATGTATGTATGTATGTATGCATACACACAGTTTTGCTTGCTGGTTTTTTATTTTTCTTTCTTTCTGGCACTCTTTCCTTAAAGAGACAGTATTGCAACAGTAATACAGATCAACCACAATTGATATGGTTCATGTACCACTGCAATTATTAAAAACAACAAAGAGTAATAACAGCCATACCAAAGCATATAAACAAACAAGTTAAAATGCTATATTCGGCTATGCCGAATCTTAAATACCCTCCAACAGCAAGCTACTTTTTATTAAAACCAATTTAACCATCTAATTTTTGATAACTTGCTAAAATTTTTGTTTCCATATTGAAGGTACTAACATTTATGCATATGTCAAACTAATTTTAATTAGGTCGAAAAAAAATGTGTATTAATGGCCAGTTTTGAAAACATTTCAATATCATGATTTATCTATACACAGAATATACTCATTTTGAATTTTATCCGGATATAATCATTTAATTACGAATTAAGTGGTATTAAGTGATTTCCCTTATATGGGAGCTAAGACAACCTATGGACCGATCCCAAAAAAATTCCGTAGAATGATTTATATATACAAAATACACATTTATGTCGAATTTTGTCTCGATAAAATTTGAGTAATTTTCGGAAATGGTCCTTAAATGGGAGTTGTGACCAATTATCGACCGATAAGGAAAAAATTTCGTATAATGATTTATATGCCAAAAAAATTCAAGTCGAATTTTACTACAATAGATTTATTAATTAATGAAATATGTGCGTTTAGGTGATTTTCGGAAGTGGAAATATTAATTTATATGGGAGGTGCAACGCCCGTTATTGCTAGTTCAGCAATTTTTTTTAAATGATCATAAAGAAATTCTAGCCACAATGCTTTCCTAGACAAACGAAAATTTGAGGATTCTAGCTCCAATGACAACCCACATAAATATATTAGAATTTTTTGTATTTAATTCATATGAGAGGTGCCACGCCCCTGTTGCTAATTCGCCAATTTATTACCTACATTAATTCATATGGGAGGTGCCACGCCCCATAATGCTAGTCCTCCCATTTTCCTTAAAATATTCATATGCATGTCAAAATTGTCCATACAAATGTTGAGGACTCTTAAGGACCATTTTCCCAGATATTCGACTTTTAAGAAAGTGGGTGTGGCACATCTCCCACTTGCAATTTTTAAGTATAAAGTAGCCTATTGTTCCTTCCAGATATAGAGGAACATACAGTGAAAATTTCAAGAAGATCGCTTCGGTGGTTTACCGTCCGTCTGTCTGTGTAAAACACGCTCACGTAAAAACGAAGAGAAATAAATTATATATAATTATCCGAACAAAATTTCACAGAATGATTTATCGATAAAAAGATTTTATCCGTATATATTTATAATTGAATGAAATACATTGGAAAAAGTGGCTTGTGGAAATGGGACTTATATGAGAACTAAGACGAATTATGCATTGATCCTAATTAAAAAAAAAAAAAGATTTCTTTTATACACAAAATATCCTTATTCCGATATCTTTATTTATCAATGAAATGTGCAATTATCTGAAGTGGATCTTATATGATAGATATGAACAATTATGGACCGATCCGTAAAAAACTTATTTTTATAGCCTATTTATACACAACACCACTTGAAAGTATACCAATTGGCTTAGAATCATTTTCTGAGTCGATTAGGGCTTGTAAAGCTTGTAATCAAACTTCAGGTCTCAATCTTGAAAATAATTCAATGAAATTTGGCACATATTCTTCTATGGTACCGGAGACGAAGCCTATTGAAAATGATTAACATTGGTTCATTATTTCACCTAGCCCCCTTAAAACTAAACCCGACAAATAGGGCTCTTAAGTTTATAATTTTGTTCAATATACTCGTATCTCGACAAAATGCTGCAAAACCAAGTTCTATACTAGCCTCGATGACTCTCATGAATTTTATAATTATAGGGTCTCATTTGACCATAGCCCCTATACAAAACCTCCTTCAAAATTTGACTTAAATATCCACAATTTTATTCAACAATAAACGGCTTCAGTATATCTGAGGCAAGGTACAATTCAACTAAATGCTCTATTATGAAAACTAAATCACATTTCATTTTTGTAACAGGTGTGGGCTATTATATGGTCGGCGTCGCCCGACTATAATTTCTTACTTGTTTTAAAATATCTTTATTTCTTAATTGGATATTTGCATTTAAGCGATTTTCGGAAGTGGTCCTTATTTGGGAGCTGTGACTAATTATGGACCGATCCGGAAAACATTTCGCAGGGTGTTTCATATCTACTATAAACACATTCATGACTAATATTATACCGATATCTTCATTCAGTTATGAAATATGTGCGTTTACGTGGTTATCGGAAATGGGCCTTATATGGGATCTATGCCCAATTATGGACCGATCCAAAATACATTTTGCAGAGTGATATATGTATACACAATACATATTTATGTTGAATATTATTTCAATATCTTTATTTCTAAATTAGTTATGTGCATTTAAGTAATTTTCTGAAGTTGACCTTACATGGGAGCAGTAACCAATTATGGGCCGAGCCAGAAAAAATTTCGCAGGGTGTTTTATATCTACTTTAAACACATTCATGATGAATTTTATACCGATAATTTCATTCAGTTATATAATATGTGCGATTACGTGGTTATCGGAAATGGGCCTTATATGGGAGCTATGCCCAATTATGGATCAATCCGAAAAATATTTTGCAACGTGATATATGTATACACAAAACATATTTATGTTGAATATTATTCCAATATCTTTATTTCTTAATTAGTTATTTGTATTTAAGTATTTTTCGAAAGTGGACCATATATGGGAACTGTGACCAATAATCAACCTATACAGATCTACGTTGATAATATGATTCCTGTTCTTATTATATACATATGTGCAAAATTTCGTGGTGATACCGATATTTTTGCCGAAGTTATTTACGATAAATCTATTTCCGAGAATATGTACTTTTGTATGGGGGCTATGAGAAATTTTGAATCGATTGTTTTGAGTTTGAACATTTTTGATCCCTGGGTAAAGAAAATAAGATGTGACGAAATTCATTCCATTATCTTTAGTAGTTTCTGAGAAAACTACTTAAGAATTAGGAAAAAAAAATAATTTTTTCGAGGTAGTCTGAAATTTTTACTCATAACTTTTTACGTTGTGAACCGATTTGGCTGATTTTCAATACCATTGCTTAGGACAATAGTGAATATTTTCAGTGAATTTGGCTGATTTATTTTGCTTAGTTTTAACGTGAGAGTGTTTGAGGCAGACAGACGGACACAGCTAAATCGACTCAGAATTTCTTAAGGATCCAGAATATATATACTTTGTTGGGTCTCAGATGAATATTTCTTGGTGTTACACACGGAATGGCAAACTTATATATACCTTCTATGACCACTGATGGTGGTGGAGGGTATAAAAATAAGCATTTTTTACACATTATGATGCAATTGTCACGAAAACTATGCAATATAATAACATGAAAATCATCATACATTTGTTTTTACACGAGAACTTTATTCTTGTTGAAAATATCCGGAATCAATCCATAATTTCTTATACCTCCCTTACACAAGTACATATTTCCGGAAAATTAGATTATTGTGGGATAATTTCCGTCAGAATGTTGATATCTTCAAACAATTTTACAAATTAAAATTCTATGTCAATAGAATTCATACAGAAAAAAAATTTTTCTGGATCGGTCCATAATTGGACATAGCTCCCATACAAGATCCCCTCCCGAAAATCACTTAAACACGCATAACTCATTACTAAATCCAGATATCCATATAAAATTTGCTACAAGTATTGCTATTATTACCGTGAAATTTTTTTCCGATCGGTCCATAATTGGTCATAGCTCCCATACAAGGTCCCCTCCCGAAAATCACTTAAACGCACATAACTTATTACTTAATTACGATATCCATATAAAATTTGGTGCAATTATTGTCCTTAATTGGTCATAGCTCCCATACAAGGTCTTCTTACGAAAATCTCTTAGACCCACATTACTCATTACCAAATAAAGCTATTGATACAAAATTTTGCACAAATATTAGTTAAGATTTTTTCACGATCGGTTCATAATATGGGTGCGATCGGTCCTATACAAGGTTCCCTTCCGAAAATCTCTTAAACACACATTACTTATTAGTAAATTACGATATAGATACAAATTTGACTGAAATATAGCTTCTATATACAGAAATGTTACTTAAAGATTTTTTACGATCGGTCCATAATTGGTCATATCCCCATTCTAGGTCCTGCCTCGAAAATTTGACTTTCCTTAAATCTTTTACACAAATTATTAAATATCGCTAAAGCATATCTTATGGCGCTTTAAAAATATAAAAAATTATGGCGTTTGTAATGTTCAATAAATCTGCAATTGTAGCAGATTTAAGCTGTTTAAATCTTGGGGTTTTTCTAT